GGACCTGGTTATCTCCGAGACCGCCTTCTGCCTCAGATTACCTCTCATCGGCCGATACGCTCCCACAGAGAGGGTCTCCTCAGGGTGCCGTCAGCCAGACAGTGCCGGCTGGCGACCCCCAGGGGGAGGGCCTTCTCGGTTGGAGCCCCCACCCTATGGAACGAACTACCCCCAGAGATCCGGGTGATTCCGGATCTCCTCCTTCCGCCGCGCCCTCAAGACATGGCTATTTAAGCTAGCAGGACTGGCCTAAGGGTGATCTTAATTTGGTTTTAAAATAACTTTAAAAAAGAAAAGGCCAATAATTTAATATTCTATTTTAATTACATTTTAAATTTAGTATTTTGTATTTGTACCTGTTTTAGATGGCTGTAAGCCGCCCTGAGTCCGCTGGGAGAAGGGCGGGATAGAAATTTAATAAATAAATAAATAAATAAAATAAAGTATAACATATATAGTATAACATTTAAAGTATGCATATATAGTATAACATTTAAAGTAAAATGCTAAATTTCATTGTCACTATTAGAAATCAAGATTTATCAATGTTGCTAATTTCTGTGCCTATGTATAATTTCCCTATTCTATATTATAGAGATAGCAATAAATGCTTTTTCTTCAAAACAGGCTTAGTGTATTTGATCTCTTTACATTTTTGGTTGGCTTATACTGTATATATATATTAAAAAAACATGATACGTTTATTTGTGGATTAAATCTAAATAACAAATGTCCTTATGCTGTGTGTCAGAGCATAAAGTACAGGGTAGATTGATTGTGGTAGTATGGAATATGGAAAATACAGTACTGCTGAAAATTAAAATTATACACTATGATGTATTGCATTGGAAAAAAAGTTGCCCATGCCATTGCTGTTTCTTGCAAAATAAAAATGGGGATGAAGATGTCTAAGTTACAGACTTTGGAGAGTTATCTAGAACAGTAAGAATTGCAAGGACACCTGTGAGGCTTGTCTTGTCTCAGAGGTTTTCTTTTATTTATTTGTTTTTAAATGTTATTGAAATTCTGCTCTCTCTTAGGAATGTCTTAAATATTCACAGGCACTTACTGTCAGCTCTATAAGGTAGATCAGTTTAAGAAATACATAGAAATACAGGGCAGACCTAAAGCTACTTTTATCAGAACAGCTTTAGGTACAGAATTTTGCAACTCTGAACTTCCTTCCCCCTCCCCCCCCCTTTAACTTAAGGAGGGAGACTGCCTGAGGCATTTTTGCACTTGCTTGATCTAGGCTCACTTATCTGACCATTGCCATGGTAGCAGATGTTCCCTATGCCCTTGAAGGCTACCCTCTATTTCCACAGCACTTATATTTTAAAACCACAAGGGATGATGATGGTGCTGATGGTAATGATGATTTTTTAAAATTTCTAATCCACTCAATAACTAACATTTTCTGGGGGATTAAAAACAATAAAAGAAGAAAATACAAAATGTTTAAATTTAGCATGCTTACTTTTCTCTATTATTATTACTTTCTTTTTACTATATGCCTATTTACAGGAGTGCGTGTGGGGATGCTAAAAAAAATGATGGTAACCACAACTATGTAATCAAAAGATAGATTAGAATAATGCAAACCTATTACTCAACTATATACCATTCCCCTTATATAGGCTGGTTAATTTTTAAAAACATGTTTTCATATTACCATGACCAGAAGAAACATTTCTTTTAAAAAAAGAATTAAACAAAAATAAAAGACATTTTTTAAGCTGCTACTGTGATTGTTATTTCTGGCCTAATGTTTGCCAAAGGGATCTCTGCCTATTTGTGAATGCAAGTATTTTAAGAACAGGCAGCTCCATTAATCAAACATTATTTGAAATTGAGTACAGTGAAGGAAAGCTAACTTTTTTCTTGAATAAAGAAATAGATGATTAAACCATTTTAAAACAAAAAAGGATGTACTGGTAGTCCTTGACTTACAACCACAATTGAGCCCAAAATTTCTGTTCCTAAGCAAGGCAGCTGTGAGTTTTGTCCTATTTTACAACCTTTTTGACTCAGTTGTTAAATGAATCACTGCAGTTGTTAAGTGAATCATGTGGTTGTTAAGAGAATCAGGCTTCCCTTTCGACTTCACTTGTCAAAAGCTGGCTAGCACAGTACAACTGTCATAAATACATGCCAGCTACCAAGCGCCCAAATTTGGATCATGTGACCAACAGTCGTAAATTGAAAACCAGTCATAATTCATTTTTTTCCAGTGCCAATGAATGGTCACTAAACAAATGGTTATAAATAAAGGAATACCTGTGTGCATTTCTGTACTGAGTGGAATGAAATAGAGGCTAGTTGGAGAAACAGCTTTTTATTTACTTTGTAAATAAATTGCTGTTGTTACATATAGTATTATAAATGCATAAAATAAATCTGCCATTTTCCTTAGCATACTTTGGATATTACAGACAAATTGTACATATGCTGCATGTTCATGTACAAAATTATTTTTGCTCTTTTACACATGCTTAAAATTCAGTTTGGATTTAATAGAGGATCTCATTTAACAGATATTTCTTTAGTCAGTTAAATGGGGAGTTTACTTAATGTTACAGTAAAAAAGACCCCGAGCCTTTAAAGTTACAATGGTAGCAGAATGCCAAGAAGTGATTACAATCTTCACACATTATTCCCTGTGAACATTGTGTATATCAGCTTTATGTTGAGCATAAGATGAAACACTTGAATGGTAAAAAAACATAATTCCTGACAAAAATAATTCTTGGATATGTTGTGTTTGCCTCATGGTAGATGATGTTTTGTCATTTGATTCACGACAGATTATTTCCACTGTAACTACATTAATAATTCTTTTTCCATCCAGAAACTGTCCTTAGAAAGACCAAGTTCTGATGGAGAAGGTGTGGTAGAAAATGGCATAACCAATATTTGTAATGGGAAAGAACATGGTAAGATGCTGCTAATAGTGCTCAAGTCAAATCACAATATTCACAAGCATTGTATGCTGAGAAAATGTCAATAATACATTTTCATAGGCATAGACCTAGAAGGAAATGAAAGGTCAGTTCACTGAATGTAAAACCTCTTATTGTCAACAGGAATAGTAATGGTTGTATCAAGATAGTAGGCAGACCTAAGGATACTTTTAAAAAATGAAGACATTTTTTTAAAAAAAATATAATTTAAATTTAATTTTCTTAATTAACTTTTAATTTTCTAGACTTCACCAGAAATTTAGAAGGAAATGAAAACATGAAAAATCAACATTCAGTTGATCTGAAAAAAACTGGACCCTATACTTGCGGGAAAACATTATAGGAAGGGGAAAAAAGGAAAAACATCAAGCTGCTTAGCACTTCTTAGAACACTAATAGGTATAGTCTTGACCTTTTAATTGTGGTGAGAGTATGAATAATGAATAGAAGCTTAACTGTTTTTTAATGACATTAAAAAAAATTAGGGTGAAAAAATGGAAATTAGAAAGGATTACTTTAAAGTGTCAACTTCTTAAATAGTGTTACATGAAAGGAAATCACAAATATGAGAGGATAAGAAAATTTAGAAAAGAAAAGAAAAGAGAAAATGAAGCTAATTACAAAGTTAACCCAAAGATTTAAAGTACTTCATTAGCAGCTTTCTTTTAAAAACTCAAAATTCCTGACCAGTCTAAAAACCCACAATTCATATAGGAGAGAGAATTCCCCGCAAGTAATTAAAAGTGGGATTAGGATGCTCATGAGTACCCTTTGCCATAACAAATTTTTGATTTAATTAATGCTTTATTGGAGGATGATAGGGATTGGATACTATAGACTTCATGGTGTTACCATTATCCCTAATAGCAGCAGCCAACATTGCCAGCAAGACCAAGAGGCTCAGAGTTCAGTTCTGAGTAGCTTTTTGAGCCATAAAAGACCATAAGGCTGGGATCAATTTTCAGTTTCTGAGTATTTTGTTGAATAATAAAAAAAGTAATGCTTTGCAATTCAGGTAGACCCTGTTATGCAAAACAAAACATATTACAAGGATTGCCCAGGTGGTGCTCTGAACGGACACTCTATATTGAGAATATAATTGCTTTAAGTTTGGTCAATTTATAGATGTCTTATAAAATAGCCAGTTGGACAGCCAGCTTTGCCTCCAATTCATTGCTTTTGTTCCTAATATACTATTGAGCCTTTTGCTCTTTCATTTCTAAACCAAAATGGACTTTAAGAGAAGATGCGAAGTTGATGTAATTAAGACTATCAAGTACAAATGTGCAGAAAGTCAAATTGTTATAAACAACTGTTAATATTTGTTAGGTTAAATGTGTGTGCAAATTTTGCATTTACCTAACTTAATTTAGAAAATGTAGAAAAAAGGTGGGCTTCAATCACACAGTCACAACATCATCATGACATTTTTGAAAATACTCCGTCCTCTGAGATGGGCCATTAACAGAATTTCTAAGAAAGAAATTCATGAACTTTATCAACAGTATCTTCCATTACTGCTAGGCTCAATGATTGCCTAGCACCACAAGTAATACCAGAGGCTGGATTAAATTATTTTTTTAAAAACAAAATCTCACAATTCCCAGACCTCATGTTGTCTGGGGTATGGCTAGAAGATTTGAAAGGTATCTTCCTGAAGTTATCTAACTTTGCTTGGAAAATTATAATCTCAGACAGTTGGAACTCCGAGTACTGCTTTTCCCTGAGACACTTTGCCCAGAACATCCTTAAAACTAGTGAAATTGGCATGAAGCTGCAGTAAACTCTTAAGCAATTTATGTAGTATAAGCACAGGTTAGAAACTATACTTTTTGTCTGGACAGTGTTTTTTTTCACAGTTGGGAAAGACTGTATTGAGTAGAAGTATAGTTGCAATGAACGGCAACATAACCACTTCAGTTAATAACAGTTAACCCTGTGATTCTGCTTTTCTGAAGATCTATAGTAAGATGGTTTCATTAATTTCAAGTAGGTTGTCTATATCAGGGGTCTCCAACTCCTGGTCCATGGACCGGTACTGGGCCGTGACATCCCAGCAACCGGTCCGCACAGACAAGCAAAGCCCCATCCGCGGGATGCAGGCAGCACACAAAACCACGCCCCCTCTGGTCCGCAGAAAAACCTCTCCACATAACCAGTCCCTGGTGCCCAAAAGGTTGGGGACCTCTGAGCTATATCACATCTTTTCTAGCACATTTTGGGAGGGTGCCATTTTTAGAAGATAATAGATGTATAATAATTAGATTTGGGTTGCACATGATTTTTTCACATGATTTCCAATCTTTACCCACATTTATAAGTGCCCTGACAATGTTGTCTGCATAATAAGTTCTAATGCTGTTCCCTTTGCATGTTTTTAAAATCTGGCTTGGAGTTACTTTTATAAGTAACTTATTTACCTGAGTTTATACAATATGTTTATGCCCTTCTTTCAAAAAATCCTGGCATTTGACATATTTTTATTATTCCAATAAACATGGGCATGGGACATAAGCTTACATTGCCAATTATTGTATTCTTTTTCATTTTTTACATGAAATAATGTCAAATATAAGAAAGTAAGTTTTATTACAATCTTAGACCAGAATAGCAATAGTACTTAAACTTATATACCGCTTCATAGTGCTTTACAGCCCTCTCTAAGTGGTTTACAGAGTCAGCATATTGCCCCCAACAATCGTGGGTCCTCATTTTACCATTTCTCAGTATACAACCAGAGTTGCAAAGAATAAAAAAATTATAAAAAGTCATGATTTCAACTTCGCCCAATAAAATAGTCTATTTAAGTTCTAACTAAGATGCATTGATTCAATAAATACTCACTGCCAAAAAGCAGAATTTAACAGCTGTCTGTCTATATCACTTCAGGGAACTCTGTCTGCCAGTAAATAGTTTTTATAAAATTCCTCAGGATAACATCATTTTTTTTCAATACAGGCAGAATTAATCATGTTAGAACATCAGAATAATGCTTATATGGTTATAGAGTAGGCCCCTCTAACTCAACCTTCCTTCCATTACATTGGCATAATTTTGAGGGATCTGAATGTTACTACATCTACAGTGGACATAAAAAGTCTACATACTCCTGTTAAAATGCAGAGATTTTTGAGATGTAAAATAATCAGACCAAGATAAATCACTTCAAATGCTTTCCATCTTTAATATAATGTATAAGCTGTACAATTCAATTAAAAACAAACTGAAATATTTTAGGGGGAAAATAACAATAAAAATTTAACAATAAATTGTTTGCATAAGCATGTACACCCTTAAACTAAAACTTGTTGAAACACATTTTGATTTTATATAAGAGCATTCAGACTTTTTTTTTTGGAGGAAGCCTGCAGCATGGCACATCTTGGAAATTTTTGCCTGCTTTTCCTTGCAAAAATACTCCAAATCTGTCAGATTGCAAGGTCATCTTGCATAGTTCACTTCAGGTTACCCCACAGATTCAATTGGATTCTGGTTCAGGCTTTGCCTGTGCCATTCCAAAACTTTGATCTTCTTCTGGTGAAGCCATTCTTTTCTTGATTTGAAGGTATGCTTTAGGTTGTTGTCATGTTGAAAGGTGAAATTCCTCTTCATCTTCCGCATTTTAGCAGAGACTTGAAGGTTTTGTGCCAAAATCGACTGATATTTAGAACTGTTCATAATTCTCTACACTTGGACTAAAGCCCCATTTCCAGCTGAAGAAATGCAAACCCAAAGCATAATGCTGCCACCACCATACTTCATATTGGGTATGGTGTACTTTTGGTGACTCAGTGTTGTTTTTGTGCCAAACATATTTTTTGGAATTATGGTCAAAAAGTTCAACCTTGGTCTCATCAGACCAAAATAATTTTCTCACATGCTTTTTGTCAGACCCCATATAGGCTTTTGCAAAACTGTAGCTGGGCTTGGGTTTTTCTTTGTCAGAAAAGGCTTCCATCTTGTCACCCAACCTTACAGCCCAGACATATAAAGAATATGGGAAATTATTGTCACATATAGTACATGACCAGTACTTGCCAGAAATTCCTGAAGCTTCTTTAATGTTGCTACAGGCCTCTTGGCAGCCTCTTGAACCAGTTTTCCTCTTGTTTTTTCATTAACTTTGGAGAGACATCCAGTTCTTCGTAATGTCATTGCTGTGCCATATTTTCTCCACTTGTTGATGACCATCTTCACTGTATTCCACGGTATATCCAATACTTGGATAAAATTTTGGACCCTTCAGACTGATCTCTTCTAATAATGAGATCCCTTTGATGCTTTGTAAGTTCTTTGCAGGCCATGGCTTTTGCTATAAGTGGCAACTGAATAAATGTCAGAAAAATCCTACTAGAACAGCTGAACTTTATATGGTAGCTTTAATTGATGGCAGATATGTAGTGACTACTATTTAACATCAGTTTGAATGTGATTGCTTAATTTTGATCACAGCCACAACCCTACTTATAAGAGGGTATGCACACTTTTGCAATTATTTTTCCCCTCAAATGATTTTAATTGATTGTTCAGTTCCATTGTATTGTACAACTTATATGATATATTAAAGGTGAAATAATTTATCTTGGACTGTTTTTTTTATACACCTCAAAAACCTGGCATTTTAATAGGATATAAACTTTTTATATCCATTGTACCTCCTAAAATTGCCAAGAGGAGGGAACTGAAACAAACTATGGTAAATACCTAGCACAAAAAAGTGTCTCTGGGAAACAGTGAAATACTAGTAAATCCTTGCAGTTTATTCCCATTTTAATATTCTAGATCTTCAAAAGATTTCTTAATAATTCCTTCCTTTTTTAACACCTGAAAATAACAAAAGTGGAGGGCAACAAGTTTCTTGCAATGTTTTCCACCAAGTAGATAGATATCTATCAGATGTTATTAATGAAACCAACTCAATTGGAGTCAAGATAAGCCTCAAGTAAGCTAATAAAATTGCTTTACAGAGTCAGCTTCTTAAAAAAACAATCCTCTAGTCTCAAGGGTAATTCAAGGTACATCAAGGTGTCAAGTGTAAGGAACCTTAAAAAATCTGACTGCTTTTTTGCATGGACCAAAATTGGCAAAAAAATTATAGTTGTGCCATATATAGATGTTACATAACTATTTTTGCAACAAATAATGCTGTAATGTCTGGGATAAAGTTCCTGTACCAACTGATGAAATCTTAAATGGCTGCTGTATTCTTTTAGATTGAGGAAGAAGCAGAGTTATCATGGGCTATTTGCTTTCTAGGTATTGGAAAAACACTCAGATATTTAAAGTATTTTACATGTTTTGTGGTTTTCCTGCCTATGTAGCATCTGTGAAGCTTAGTGTTGTTGGAGAAGACAATCAATTTTGAATGTTAGTTATTTATAACCAGCTGTTTTTTTTCTTTTCAGGGTTGGGTGAGGGTCTTAAAAATCTTTCCTAAGAACAACTTGAGTTAGTGACAGAACAGAGGTATAATCTATGTAAAATAGATTAGCTAGTTGTTTACTTGCCAGGCTCTTGCCAATATGTAATTACCATATTTATATAAAAATAAAAAAGAATAGTGCCAGGAGATAGCCTTGATTCATTGTGTAAATAATCATAGAGATAGATAGATAGATAGATAGATAGATAGATAGATAGATAGATAGATAGATAGATAGATAGTCCTCCATCAAAGAACAAAAAGTCATGCAAATGATTAAAAGTCTATTATAAGAGCACATACATTCATATTTAATTTTTTAATTAAGAGTAGATATGGTAATACACAAAGATTGAAAGGCTCAATTAAATTAAGCACTTTAAGCAAATTGCAAACTAAGGAGATATACAGTAGGAAAATCAATACAGATCACTTTTAATTAAAACTGGAAATATTTGCTGCTTGAAGATATAAGTAAGTAGAGACCAAGTTCGTTCACAAAGAAGGATACTGGTATATTACATTAATTTTATGTCCTGCAATTCTTCAGCATCGTTGAAGAGCTATAGTGTAAAATAGAACTGTTCTATGTCTGCATTAAATGAAGAACAAGCATTGCACTGCCACAAGCCATTTGGCACTTTTACTGCTTGTTGCTGTTTAAAAAACAAGTGTTGGAATAATGTATTATTCTTATACCAGATTCTAAAAGTGACGTCCAAACTAAGAAGTCAAGTTTAAGTTAGATTTTTTTAAAAAGTGACATGCCACCTCAATGATTTGTCACGAATGAGACTATGAATCCCATTTGGGGTTCTGAATTGATTTTCAGTAAAGGCAACACAGCTGCTTCTGAGGTGAAATATTTTTTCGGGTGCCATAGTTTCAGCTATTTGATAAAAGTTTCTTTTAAAATCTTAGAAGGCTTAGCTGTCTGTGTGTATGTGTTTGGTTGATAGTAAAGAGGAAAAAGAGCTCAAAGGTGGACTCCAAAGGCACTGTACCTAAAGTAACAGGAAAGAAGATCACAAAGATAATTGGGCTGGGGAAAAAAAAGCCATCTACTGATGAACAGACCTCATCTGCTGAAGAAGATATACCAACATGTGGTAAGTGACTTCTTATGATCACTTATAGAAACAACTTTATTGGTGGAAAATGTTGATTTCATTTCTAAAAAAGATGCCACTCTTCAAAACCAGATTTTTCTTGTTCTCGGCCTCCATACAAATTACTTTGTTCTTCTAAAAGTTTTCATTATACAAATATGTTGTCAGACTGCTTTAAACACTGTAGTCCACTAAAGAATTCCATTCAATTTACCTGGTTTTCCATTTTTTAATCTGAACTATTTAAACTATGCCTGTGCCAATATGTCAGTGATAAACAAGTAGTCGTTTCCTAGCGACTCTCACTCCTCAGGTTAACATTGCCAATGTTTCCACTTTACTGATCTCACACTCCCTGTAACCTACCCCCACACACACAGACACACAGACACACACTCCAAATGATCTGAACAATTTTATGATTCAGGATTATGCAGTATCGTGTATCTGGGCAAACACCGTTTTAAGCATCTCTGGTTCTGATTTTCACCACCCCAGTTGGCAACTAACTCCCATGGCTTTCAGTTTTCTCCATTTTTTCTGTTATAGTTCCACCTATCTCCTAGATCTGGTCAGTCACCAGGACCAGAGGTTTTAGTCTTCCGAGCTTTCAGACTTGTGCTGGAGCTCATCCTTAGGGAATCCGTTATGATCATAAGTCGAGGACTACCTGGTAAATCCTTCCATAATAAGTTTCTTTTGCATTAGCAATACAGTAATTAATAGGATTTCTAATTTACTATTTTAAATAAAGAGAAGAAAATTCTGAAAATTAAATTTTTTCCACTATGTGGTAGAGAGATAATTCGTGTTCTTATCATTAAAATGTGTAAGACAACCGTTGCCATGTATCTTAACTCTTAACCAGGTGTTGACTGTTAGCTGAGAGAATTCCTATGCATAGACTTGAGCATTAAATCAGTTTAATTGACCCTTGTGTGGGCCTGGCCTGACAATAAATTGTGAATACACATTAGAAAACTTTAAGAAATTTGTTTTTATGTTTTGCAGGATATCTTAATGTGCTGTCCAATAACCGTTGGCGTGAGCGCTGGTGCAGAGTGAAAGATAATAAGCTGATACTCCACAAAGACAGGACAGATCTAAAGACTCATATTGTTTCTATTCCTCTCCGTGGCTGTGAAGTTATTCCAGGATTGGATTCCAAACATCCCCTGACATTCCGCTTGCTTCGAAATGCTCAGGAGGTTGCAGTATTAGAGGTATATTGTAAAGAAATAACATAAGCAGAATCTAAGAATCCTGCTTCTAAAATAAGAAATCTATTCTGTAATTAATACCTTGAATGCATAATATTTCCTTGTTCTTGCCCATGACGGGAGCCTTTAGCTAGATAGCTAATAATATATACCAGTATTAACTTGCTAATTACACTATTTTGAAAATTTTTAAAACTCTGTTTCTAGAAATTCTCAAACTCAAGACATTTAAGAAGGCAGTAAACAATGCTATTAAACTTAAATCAGTATCAGGCCACAAACCAGTTTCAATTAACATTCATTCTTAATTCATATTCTCTTTCTCTCTCTCTCCCTCCCTCCCTCCTCCCCCCCTCTCTCACATACACACACAGACACACACACACTGAAGTCCATAGAAAAGAGACATTTGAAATATGTGATAAAGGCATTACCAACTGGGAATAGAGTCCACGTCTGGAGGATGCAAGCGTGGAGCAGCCTCTACTGTTGCCAACATGAGCCTGCCCATGTCCTCAGGGCAGATTTGGAAGTGCCGTATATCTCAGGCAGGGGTGCAGAATTTATGTCTCCTTAAGGATCACTCTAGGCTTGGCATAATGCATCAAGGGCTATACTCCAAAAGTGTGTCTGGACAGAGTGCTTTTGGAAGAAGGAAAAAGTATTTTAGGCATCAAAACCTAAGGTAGTCATGTTATCTCTTAATGGCATGAGAGAGAGCCCAAATTTGGGCTCCAGAATGTGGCTGAGAACTGGGGGATATCTCTGGGCACTACAAAAAAAAAATCTGGAATTCATCAGAATCTGTATTCATCAGAATGCTAAAAGCAGTGTTGTGGTGTCATGCTACAAGTTCCATGTGAAACATTCAGAAGCTTTGTCACAATGCTGCTTTTGTCATTTTGCCTCCACCTCTGCCCCCACATAGGAACTGCTAAAAGCTGATCTTTGCTATCTTTGCATCCTAAGGAGTAGGGTTATTTGTTTTAACAAGATTTTTGACAGCCATCATGGAAATGTTTTAAAAATGAAATTCAAGAACTCCTTCACTGAATAAGTAAATGTATACTTGAACTAAAAATAGATATATATTAGTGAAAGTTTCAATGTTCACCTGTGATTTTCTTCTGTTTTAC